GGCAAATTTGGGAGGAAACCTCTGAATGGGGTCCTGCTAGGAAAGGGATTCAAGCAGTCCCTCCTCCAATCGGCTCGGGAAAAATAATTTCTTCAGAGAGAAGTGGAAAAGTGTTTATTCAACAGGCAACACATCTTTCAGCACAAAAATGAACGATATCAAACAGCAAAACTTCTCGCCATTTTGAAGAGATGACAGATTTAGAAGAGTTCTTTCTGTGGGCTGCCCGGCTCACTCAGTCTGTTCTCAGTCCTTCCGGTGCTGGGGAATGCTGCGGCCCAGGCCAGGCCCAGTGGACCACAGGTGTGAGCTCCCAGTGCTCTTCTGGATTTTCAGTCCAGAGCAGGTTCAAACAGTTCCAGGAAAAAGGAAAAGAAAAACAAAACATAATCCAGGGAGCTTCTCTGCCTCAGCTAGCCAGAAAAACTAACCAAAAGTAAAAAAGAGAGCTCTCTCGCTGTCCACTGCAGACAACACCGTCTGTGAGCAGGAATGCGGGGGAGCCAGTGCAGTCTCTGATAACAAACTCTGCACTTCTTTTTTTCCCTTCTTCACTCCTGGAACCAGTCTTAAAGTTGCAGAATTTAATATTCAACACTAATAGATCAGACAATTTGGGGATACAGGCATCATACAGTCACCCCAAGACACTGTGCCAAGATGGTCTCGAAGAACAGGCTGATTCTAAATGTGCTCAGTGAGAGGCAAGAGACCCATGGAGCCTCTGATCACATGGACCAGTGTCGTCTACAAGAGAACATGATCATTCACATGGCCTTGCGAAAGGGCATGAAACTCACAAGAAAGGTAGGAGAGCTGCTGGGCACTGCTGCATGCATCTTTTTCAGGATGAGTCTTCTTGCCCCTCAGTACATGATGGATGCCCTTAATAAAGAAGAATTCCAATAAGAGACACAATGCAAAGAACTCAGGTGAAGGGGAAAAGAATTTAAGAAGGTGTCCTGGTTTGAAAAACAGATGTCTGCTACGGAAACAGGGTCTTCCCTTGAAATGGAGAAAGTAAATCTCTCCCTCTGAACTAGAATAATTTTGAAATTAAGGGGCTCTCAGGCAAACATATGGGGATAAACAGTTCTTTACTAGTATATATAACAAGGCAAACAAAACAACAACTATGAAATTAACAACAAACAGAACAGTAACCAAGTTCCGGTCCTCTCGACCACGGGCACTTTTCCACTTGGAGTGGTTACCATCACAGCTGGCAGGCAGCAGTGGCAGGACAGATGCGACGATCCCTCCACAGCTGCAGGGGCGCTGGGGAGATGGTGGCTGTGTCTGAGACTGGAAGGGATGGAGGAGAAGCAGGACGCTTGGAGAATATCAAGGTGAAATGGGAGGACATCCTAGTAGGTCCAGGGGTGCGGGGTCTAACAACAGGAGAGGCAGCTCCCAGCATTGGGATGGTGGCGTTAGCAGCGACCTTCCTCCTCTGAAACCAAGAGTGAGCGAGAGCAGTGAGCAACTGCCCCCCTCCCCCCGCCAAAAAAACTCCCCCAAAAAACCAGGGAGGTTCCCCCTCCACCTCGTTTCTCAAGGACCTAGCCATCAGTGCTTCTTAGTATGTCACTGGGAAAAAATTCCACAGGCAGAGGGAAGGAAAAATCAACGCCCAATAAAAGGTGACACAGTAATTGAGACACCAACCATCCTCCTCCACCTCTTGTTCCAACAGAGGAACTGCTGAGCCTTTCCCTGGGTGCTTTTCCTGTGTTATCTCCTTGCTATTACTTGAGCAGGAAGTGCCCCAGAGAATTAGCAACAATGAGGAAATGTCATCAGCCCAGGATGAGGTGCCTGTGCCCAGTCACTGCGGTGCACCCCAAGAGCTGGCACATTTATCCCTCTCTGCAGAGAAGGGTGTTACAGGCCAGAGAAGGCAGCAGTACCTCAGCGTTTTCCTCATCCCTTCTGGCAATGCTTCTCCCTGCATTCAATAAAAATGAAGTTTGTTCTCATTCCCCCTGGTGTTGCTGATGTCTTTGGAAAAGCAGTTTCTCTTCTCCCTTATGGCACTGGCCAAATTCAGTTCCAGCTGGGCCCCTGCCTTTCTACCTTTCTCCCTGCATGCCCCAAGAACATCCCTGCCCTTCTCCTGCGGTGCTGCCCTTCTTCCAAAGCTGCGCATTGTGTGTTTGCCCTGAGTGCCAGCCAAAGCTTCCTGCTCAGCCCCTCTGCTTCTTCACCAGCTCGTCTTTGGGCACACGAGCATGGCCTGTTCCTGCCTGTGCCTTCAAGGATTTCTCCTTGCACAATGGCCAGCCTCCCTGGACCCTTGTGCCCCTCAGGACAGTCCCCTGGGAGCCTCTCAAGCAGCGTGGCCCGGGCAGCCCCTCCAACCTGGACGGACCTTTGTCCACACGGGCATTGCTCCAGCCCCAGAGGCCCAGAGCCTCCCCTGTGCTGGGTACAGGGAGCCAGGGAGAAGATTCCCCTGCTGCCTCGAGCAGGGACCTGTTTGTATTCCCCCTGTCTCTTCAGTCTCCTCTTTCTGCCTGCTGGCAATAGTCTATGGATCCTCAGCTTCTTGGGATGTGTCTGTCTGGGACATTTGTCCAATGGGTTCTTCAGAGTGCCTCCACCAGTCCTTCTCACACTCCCTGACACTCATTATCTTTCCACTTTACCTTTCAAATCTGCCACTGGGCGGAGCAGAGCATCTACCTGGTCATACCTCACAGAGGTGTTATTCCTGCCAGCCCAGTGCCACTGCCTGGCTCAACATTCCTGTAGTGTTTTCCCATTCCAACGAGGCCTTCCTGGATGTCTCTTTGGATAACAAAGGAAGAGGCTTTGCAGTAGTGCTTCTAAAACCTCCCAAGCTCCTTGTAGCTTTCCAGCGTCAAGACTTTTATGTTCCAAATGTCTGCTGCAAGGACAAGAGCTCTGGGGGGTTGGTGGGAAAGGGAATGACCCGTGTCCTCCTGCAGGGGCCATGGCACCCGTGTCCCTGTAGTGCTGGCTTGGAGCTGCACAAGCGGCACTGTCCCCTCTGCACCGCGGAGGTTTCCACCTGCTCCTCCTTCCCTTTAACCTCCTTCACACCCGCCTGGCTCCCAGGCTGATGGCTGCACGGTTTTCATTCCCAATGCCCCTGTGCACCCTTGGGAGCTGGACTGTGTGGTGGCAGAGAGGGAGCTCTTGGTGGCCCTGGGAACCCCTGGGACATAAGCAAAATGTTCTGAGGTTCTTTGAAAATCTGTGATGGAGAGGAAGAAATATGAGGCAGAGGATGTAGAGCAGGTGATGTCAAGTACCATGTGCTTCCTGTTTTTCCTCACCTCTCCAAATCCTTCCCTTCCACTGTGCTTTCCAGGCTCTGCCCATTTACAACCACTTAATTCAAGCCCAGTGTCTTCCCAGCAAGCTGAAGGGTGTAGGAAAATCTCTTCCTCCACATCCCAGTATCTGGCCAGGTACACAGCTCAGCCAGGGACTAATTTTTCTGGGAATCAAGGGCCTAGCAGATACTTTTAGTACAGGCAATGCCTGCACTTCCTCTTCGGCTCTTGTTCTGATGTAGGAACTGCTGATGCTTTCCTTGGAGGCTGCTGCTTTAGTGGCTATATCCCAGGATATTTCATTGGATCCCAGTTCTCTAGCTGTTGTTTCCTTGTAATTTCTTGCTCTTATTTCCTTGTATAACACTTCCTTCGAGGCATTATTCTTGGCTCTTTCCTCACTACTGTTTCCTTTACTATTTCCTTGAATTTCCTTCACTATTAGTTCCTTGCCTTTATTTCCTTGGATGTTGTTTCTCTGCTGTTATTCCAGATAGAAGAAGCCTATGGAAATGCTTTTACTCAGAGACAAGATGCTCTGGCCTGAGCCCTGCCCTACACCCAGCACCCCAAGATCTGGACCGCTGACTGCATAACCCCTCTCTGCAGGGGAGGACGCTGCTGGTGGGTGTCATGCTTAGGACAGCCCAAAGTCCTCTGGGGACTGGGGGGATCCAGGAAGCCCTGAGTGTCCCAAGCAGTCACTGCAGTCCAGGCTCCAGAGCCGCAGCCTTCCCAGGGCCATGAAATCCTGTGCATGCGGTCCATGTGTGTCTAAATGTCTGTCCATGTGTGTCCACATCTGTGTCCAGCTGTGTCCGTGCGTGTCCAGGTTCCCGCGCGCGGCTACGCGAAGTGCCCGCGGTGCGTGGCCTGGCGCCATAGGTCCCGCCCACCCGGTGATGACGTTGAAGGGCGGGGCGTGCGCACTCCAGGCACTTCCGGGTTTCCCGGCCGGAGCCGCGGAGCCGGTGAGCAGGGGGGCCGGGCCTGGCAGGAGGTGCGGGGTGAGGGGGGCCGGGGGGTGCAAGCGGGGCCGGGCCTGGCAGGAGGTGCGGGGTGAGGGGGGCCGGGAGGTGTAGGGGGTGCGAGGTTAACGGGAGGTGCGCGGTGATGAGGGCCGTGCCTTGCTGTGCTGACGGGTGCAGAGTGACGGGGTCTAGCGAGGGGTGCAGGGTGACGGGCGCCCATGGGGTGCGGGGTGCTGGGGTCAGCCGGGTTGCAGGCCTTGGGGTCTGGCAGGGAGTGCAGGGTGTTGCAAGCGAGCGCTGCTCCCCGACTCCCCATGGCCGGGCAGGCCCTGATCCCTCCCCAGCCACCGGATGCTCCCACAGCCACCCCTCCAGCCCCCAGCACAGGCTGCGCTGCCCAGCCAGCAGCCTGGACCTCTCATTCCTCCTCTCCGTGTCCCTCATGAGGGGGACAGCGGGTCAGATATGCCTTTCCAAGAGGCCCCACTGGGGGTGGTTATCTAGTCCTTAATGCACTCCCACCAGTGCTGACACCCCAAATTTCTTGGCTTATTCCTCCCACTAGCCAGAGATCCCAGCACCTGTGGGATCCTTACAGCTTTCCCTGATTTATCATGTGTTATATTCTCAATAAACGCGTCTGGGTATTTCTTGTGTAAAATTCTGTGTAAAATGCAGAGATTAAAAAGCCTTTTCCTCACTGCCTGCCTTCCTTGCAGCCACGGCTGTCCCCTTGCCGAGGGATGCGAGCCACCCACCCAGCCGGATGGCACCAGGAACATCTACAGGGAAACTCCAGCGCTGGGAATCCAAAGCATCACAAAAACTGGGAATAGAAACCTGGGAACATCTTGCCTCAACACGCTGGGTCTTTCACAACCTGCTTGGCCCGTGCATGGTGGCTCCAGCAGCTGCAGTACCACAGAAAATCAACCCCAGCTCTCCCTGCGGCTCCAGCAAATTGTAGCCTGGTACAGGAGTAGGTAATAGGCTGAAGGAAATTGCCAGTTTGGAGTGTTTGGGAAGCAAGCACGGTGTCACCGCTGAGGCTGGGAGCTCAGTGGCTGCTCTCTCTCTGCCCTGGCTTCTCCTGGGCCCCCGCAGGGCAGAAGCTGGACGGGTGCATTGGCGGTGACATTTCTCCAGCCACCACCAGGTTTGTCAGCTGTGACAAATAGGGACAAGGGTGGTGTGATGGTCCCATTCCTCACTCCTGCACAACACTGCATGTGTTCCTGCTGTGGGAGTCACAGCATGGCTACCTCGGGCTGGGCACAAGGAAGGAGCCAAAGTTGGACCATGAGGGTCCTGCTGGGGCTCTGTCCTGTTCTAACCCTCACTGAGCTGTTCCCAGGCATTTTGTCCTCCAGTCCCCATGCTATGCCACCGGCTTTCCTGCTCCTGGGCTGTCTCTGGGCCCATCTTGCACTTGGCTCCAGGTGGAAAGCAGGAGCTGTGTTGGAGGAGAGGGTTGTCCCCACAGCAGCCCTTGGACCCACTGTGCTACCAGAGCCCTCATGTCCCCAGGGTGGAGGGTGACTGGCACAGCACTCATGCTTGGAAAATGACTGGCTCTGTGTCCAGGCCTTGAGTCACTGCTCACGCTGCCGTTGTGGGCTGTTGTTTTCCATCCCAGAGCACAGGCAGTGACCTGCTGTTTATTTATAACTCACAGAGCGTCACTTCTTGGGAGACTGAAGAGCCAGGCTCTGGGACAGGGGCTCTGTTCTGCTGGCATGAGCACTGATTCCAGCTGTTCGCAAAGAATCTGTCTGGTTTGCAGCAGTTTGGGAAATCAGCAGCTCTGCTCTCGCACCGTGACTCTTCTCCTGGGTAGGTCGGACTCCCTGCCTGGGGTTGTTCCTCACCTCTTTGCCTTTCCATGTTTCACCCAGGGAGCCTCCAGGGTGGTGACTGCTGGGAAACCTGGTGAGTTTTCTCTGCTGTAGCTGTGCTTGTCTCTGTGTCTGCACATCCATCCTATCTCTTATCTTCCAAGATCACAAGGAAGAGCTGTGGCTTTCCAGGATCTGCCTGGAAGTGCTCCAGGGCCCTCTAGGTCTTTCTACATCCAGTGCCAAGGCTGCTGTTCTGGTTTCCCTGTGTTTCACCTAAGATTTTGTTTGGTGAAATGATCTTCAGAGCTGCTTCCTTGCACTCGTTATGCAGGAAAATGCTGTCTCATAGAAGTGGTGATGTATGGATTCATGGCGCTGGAACAAACTGGTTGGACTGGTCATGGTGGGAGTGGAGAGTCTCGTGGTGAAGGTGGTGGGTTGTCCTCCTCAGCTCTCGCCACCTGCAGGCTCTGGGAGAGGTGATGCTGGCAAAGGAGAATTTTGGGGGAATAACTCTCACTTTATAAAACTTAGTCCATGTCTTTGTAAAACTTAGATGAAGTCTTTGAAAAACCTCTGTTGTCACCTGTTTCCCTGTGACCAGCTCAGGACTCCAGCGTGGTCCTGGAGCTGGAACACCTGCGCTTCCTCCCTGGGCATGAGAAATGCCACCCTGTGTACCCTCTCGAGTCTCCCACCCTCGGGTCTCACTCTCAGATCTCCCTCAAATCTCTCACCCTTGAGTCTTCTCCCACACCTGGGTCTCCTCTTACTCTTGGATTTCCCACCCTTGACTGTCCCATCCTTGGGTCTCCCACCTTCATTGTCTCAGGGGAGATGTGCCTTTTGTCTTCAGGGTGTAGCAGGAGGTGATGGGGAAAGGGGCAGAGGCTGCCTAGCCCTGAGGAGCTGAAACCTCCTGGGTGGAAGGCAGAGATGGGTGTGGCTCCCTGCAGTCCTTGCCAACCACTGCTGCCCCTTCAGGGGCTCCTCACTCTCCCAACCCCTCTAGCAGCCCTTGAGCCAGAGGTTAACTTTCCTGTTCTCCCCCATTTCTGTGTTGCAACACAGGGAGAGGAAATCTTATGACAAGCCGCAGCAAAACCAGTTTCATTTTCTCTGAAATCGTCTGTGAACCCTAGAAACACTGAGCATCTGTCCTGGGTTTGGCCCTAAAGAGTTCTTGTCCTGCTCTCAGCAGGGCCAGCTGCTGGGGTTCCTGCACAGAATGCTCTGGGTCTGGAATGTTCCAGGTCTGTGATGTCTGGATTTGGGCTGCTGCAGACTTGAGCTGCTCTGGGTTTGGGGCACTGCAGATTTGGGCCACTCTGGGTTTAAAGTGTTCCTGATTTGGACAGTGCTGCCTTCAGGACCAGCTGTGGCCATGTAGGAGCTGCTCAGCAAACCTGGTTCTGCCCAGGCTTGGCAGGAGAGGGGCAGGTCGATGCTGCCAGTTCTGTTCAGAGAAAGCTCTGGGGATATTGTGTTGGCTTGGAAATAAAATCTGAGACGTCAGTGCGTTCCAAGCCTGTTGTCTGCTGGAGGCAGATCTAACCCTGTGGCCAACAGCTGGGCTCTCCTTCTCCATTTGGACTGCAAGTGATTCCAGCTTAAGGGAATCGTTTGATAGGACAAGGTAGAATGGTTTCAGACTGACAGAGGAGAGGATTTGATTGGATATTAGGAAGTCAATCTTCCCTGTGAGGTTGGTGAGAGCAGCTGTGGCTGCCCCTGGTTCCCTGGAAGTGTCCAAGGACAGGTTGGACACTGGGGCTTGGAACAGCCTGGGATAGTAGAAAGTGTCCCGGCCCACGATAGGGGGTGGGACTTGCTGGTCCTTAACCAAACCCTTCTAAGATACTATAAATAAATTCCTCTCCAGCCTCTCATATCCTTAGGAAGCTGTGAGCAGTAGCAGGTGCTGGAGCAGCTCTTGGACCTCTTTTCATGCCAGGCCCTGCTGTGTGGGGTGAGGGATCCAGCTGTGTTGGGTGAGGGATCCAGCTGTGCCATGGATGTCTTTCTGGCACCATGTGTTCTGCTCAGAGGCTCCAGGTACAGCTGTGCTTCTTAGATGGCTCTGAGGGAGTAGCAGAGCAGGAAGCCAAGAGTTAGAAGTCAAAGGTCCCTTGTTGTCCCTGCAGTGGCAGGTGACCTGGCCAGGTTGCCCAGACTGCTTGGATCAGTTTTTTGCAGGGTTTTCCATAACAGGAAGGCAATGGTTTTTTCTGTCTCCCACCAAAGCAGCAGAGCAACCCTGGCACCCCCTGCATGGGGAGATGCTGGGGATCATCTGCCTCATGGAGAACCAGAAGCCTTCCAGTAATTAGAGGGGCTTTTAAAAAATGTGGAGAAGGACTTTACATGGGCAGTCAGTGACAGGACAAGGGAGAAGGGGTTTAAACTAGAAATGGAGAATCAGATTGGATACTGGCAAGAAATTCGTCCTGTGAGAGCGAGGAGGCCCTGGCACAGGGTGCCCAGAGAAGCTGTGGCTGCTTCATCCCTGGAAGCATCCAAGGCCAGGTTGCATGGGCTTGGAGCAGCCCGGGGTAGTGGAAGGTGTCCCTGCCTATGGCAGGGAGTTAAAGGGAGGTCTTTAAGGTCCTTTCCAACCCAAACCATCCTGGCATTCCATGATTCTTTCCCATCTCCCCAGACACCTCTGTGCTGATAGGGTCTGTCCCGGCTGGGTTTGGAGCAGCATCACTCCTCTGGCATGTGACAGAGAGCTGAACTGCTGTCACCTATCCCCAGGCTCTGCTGAGGGGTGACATCCCTTGTCCAGGCCACCTAATGCCACTGCCATTTGGTTTTTGGGTGCCTTTTCCAGGCTTAGGCATTCCGGGTGACACAGCCCTGGCCATGCCTGTGGCACTGCTGGCCAGACCTGCCTGGCAGCTCCCCCAGCCTGGGGGCTACCTGAAGGCCCCTCACTGGGGTTCATTACTCTGTCCTGTTCTCTTGGTCGTGCTCTGTTTTTGCCTGAAACTCTCCTGGTCCCCGGGCATTGTTCCAGGGAATCACGGTACCTTTCCCTGTCAGTCACTCCCAGCTCACATCCCACAGTGTCCTGGCCATGAGCACCTGCAGAATTCCTCAGGACAACATCCATCCCTTTTGGGTGGCACCAGGAGCCCTTGGCCTGGCAGATGAGTGGGGTGGAACCCCTGGGTGCTCAGCCATGCCCTCCTTGTCCTACAGGTGACATGTGAAGGCAGCGCGGGGAGCAGAGGCAGCAGAGATGCATTCCAGCCACCTCGAGGACCCCAAGGAAGCCATCCAGGTGAGCCAGACTCCCTAGTGCTCCCCAGACAACTCCCAGTGCAACTCCAGACAGAGTGCACAGTGGTGGGGACAGGTAGAACTTGTGGGTGCTGCCAGCTGGGATTAGGATTTATAGAGACTAGGTTTATATTGGGATTGGAAAGGGATACTTGATGGTTTGTCTGGGTTGGGGGATTAAATGAAATAAGGGATTAAATCCCACCTTGGCTTTTGAAAGACCTCATGTGGGGCAGGGAAGGTGCTCAGTTCTGGTACCTGGATGGAATGTTGTCTCCCTCAATTTAGAGTTTCTTCACCCAACTTTGGGTGTCTAAACACATTCAACAAATAAAGTTCAACATCAGCAGTTAAACCCAAGTGTTTTATTCATTCCAGGGATGAATCTGTGTGTGACTGATAAAATCATCTGCACTCTTTATTCTTCTCAGCCCTCAGTGCTCCTCCCATGGAGCAGCAGACCTGGGGAGCAGTTGAAAAGGCTGGAAAACAGCACCCCAAATAAGGAACACTCCCTTGGCTGTTGTCCTTGGGCTACAGCTGCTGAGAATCTTATTTAGATGCTGAAAAAAAAATATCCCAAGCTGGAAATTGAATATGGGTTTGTGCAGCCAACAGAGGCTGGAGTCAAAATCTTCAGAGCCCTGCTCAGGGAACATTCAGCATTTGCTGGGAACGCTGCGTGGTGCTGAAACATGGATTTTGTTTGATTGGAATTTGAGGAGGAATTTGCGGTGTTTTCCAAGTACCTGCTGAGAAATGCAACCTTGATTTAAAATAAGATTAATTGAGATATCCAGGCTCAGCCGCTTTAGGAAAAATCTTCTCCACTGGCGTGAAATTGTTAAATTCACCAAACTCTCTGCTTTCAACTAGTGGGAGAGGAAGTAAAGCTGCTGGAAGGCAAAATTCCCACATCCCAGCTTCAGAACCTATTGAGTCTCTCCAAGGGCAGCAGCAAAACCCCAATGTCATTCCAAAGCCTGCTGTTTTGGGGCCTGTCCCCTGAGTGTTTACCCAGCACAGCTGCTGAGGTCGATGACTTTGATTTCTGCTGACGTGCCCCATGTCACATGCTGCTTGGGCTGACCTGCACGAGTTCAGGGGATCTGTTCCCTCCTCGGAGTTTCTCCTTTCTCACCCACACTTAATCTTTGTGTTTCCCCCAAGAGAGAGCCTGGAGAGAACCTATTCCTTTTTCCCCATTCCCTTAAGCCATTTCCTGTCTGCAGAGGAAACACTGCACACTCTAAAGGCAACCCCAGTTCTGAAGCACCAGCTAAAATTGCATTGCATAAATCATTATTTTTATAACAAAATAAGCCTGATGCCAGGACTGTGAGTCCCCAGCTTGACCAGTTCAGCTGCTCCAAAAGATGAGGATGAGGCAGGAGTCATGTGGTGCTTCACTGTGGATAAGCATTACTGGTTTTGAGCTCTTTTACATTAAATCCTTCCTAGTATTTTTACCTATATAATCCAAATCTACACCTCCTATCTTGCAGCTGATCAAGAAGCAGCTGGTGAATGCCATCAAGGCTCTGCAGAAGCAGTACGTGAGCTCAGACACCGTGGTCACCAGTGATGACGGCAACGCCAACACACTCTGCAGCGCCCTGGAAGCTGTGTTTGTGCACGGGCTGAAGGCAAAGCACATCAAGACAGAGACTGGGGGGAAAGGGAAGAAATCAGGGGGTCGAGGCCCCCTTCCCCAGCCAGTCTTTTGGGGCCTGCTGAAGAGCATCACGCATCGGTGAGTGGCTCTTGCTGCTGACAGGTATTCACACGTTCAGGTTTATCCCTTCTTTTGGTGCCATCAGATTCAGAGGACAAGGAGGATGGCTCGATGGATAGATGTGTCTCTACCCCTTGTGTATGCTCAGTCCCCTCATCTGCAGGGAAGGATGCTCTCATGGGGCTTTGGAGGGCTGCCCAGGACCCTGGGAGATAGAGGTAGCAGAGTGAAGCCCCTGCAGTGCCAAGAGGGGTTGAGCCCCCACATCTCTGCTCAGCGTGTGCTGGGGGTGAGCTGATGTCTCCAAAAAGTTGAGGATTGAAACTGAAAGCACACCCCTTTCTTATTTATTTCTGGGTGCCGGTGGAACCTCAGTGACCACACTGGTCTCCAGCAGCAGCTGCTTATGCACAGCATAGGGATCTGGGCTCTCTCCTGCCCTGGATCTGCTGGGATTGGTTGGCCCCATTTCCCCATGTCCCAGCAAGCCTTTGAGGAGGTCTCTCCTGAGTGATCACTGTTTACTGGGGTTTTCTAAGCCACTCCCTAAGTCAAGTTCACACACAGTAAATAACAGCCTACACAAAAATTGTTCTGAAAGTCTCATCCAGCTCCATCACCGACTCCTGAATTATGAAAGAGCGGCTGAAAATAACTCTTTCACATGCTATGGGGGATATTTTTGTGCTCTTTGAAGATTTTTTCTTCTGTCTTGAGAGACAGATTAGAACAGAAGTCTTACAAAACCTTTGCTCTGGTTTTTGAGGTGTGTGCAGTGAGCTGGGAGCAGGGAGGAATTGGGGAGCGTGGTGTCGCTGTTGGATTTTAGGGAAGAACAGCTGAATTCAGGAGTTTGGGATTACTTCAGCTCAACCCTAGCCAGGTTGGTTTTTTGGGGCTGCCACAACAGTTTTCGCTGTGTTTTGACGCTTTTAAATTTGAAGTGAGAATTTAGACGTGGTTGTCACCAAGGAGGATTCAGCCAGCACAAACCCTAAAAATACACAAGGACAGCAGGAATTCTTCCCTCTGCGTCCTCGGCCAGTGCAAGCAGTGGATGGGAGATAGGTGGGAGTCAGAGAGAGGAGGGGCAGCCAGAGGTACCACAGAGCTGCCTGGAGTCCTTACCAGCATATTTAGTTTGGGCCATTCAGGAGCCATCTCGCTCCGTGGAAAATCACACTTTCCATGAAGGAGAGAGATTTTCCACAGCTGGTTTTATCCCAGCTCCTGAACTCCCTGTAGCAGAGCAGATTGGGCAGTGACTGATGAAGGCTCTGGCCCTCCTGTACCCCACGATGGACCAAAACGGAGCCGCTTACTCCTGCTCTGTTCTTTTTCATCTTTTCCCAGAAATATTGTCTCGGAGCTGGAACAACTGATGTTTATCAACACGGATGTGGGGCGCTGCCGGGCCTGGCTGCGGCTGGCACTGAACGATGGCCTCATGGAGTGTTACCTGAAGCTTCTGCTGCAGGACCGCACCCGGCTGCACGAGTACTACCAAGCCCCAGCTCTGCTCCTGGACACCGAGGAGTGCGAGTTTCTCCTCTGCTACTTGCAGGGTTTATCATCCTTAACCTTCGAGCTGTCCTACAAGTCAGCAGTTCTAAATGAGTGGACCATCACCCCACTGTCCCTGTCGGGTCTGTGTCCCTTGTCCGAGCTGCTGGAGCCCCTCATGTCCTCGGCCTCTGAACCCCGCAGGAAAGCATCACTGGGCTCCATCTCCCAGTCCTCAGGGTCTGATGAGATCGAGATCCAAGCCCCCGTCCTGCCCATCGGCAAAGCCAGCAGCAAGATCAAGCTCACGTCATCCTCGCTGAGCCTGAACACCACGAGCTCGTCCCAGCTCTCGTCCAGCCTGGGCTCTGACAGCCTCCCCCCGGTGCCCTGCGCCCGCAGCCCTGAGCGCGGCGAGGAGCCGCTGTCCTGCGACTCCGACCTGGGCACAGCCACCGCTGAGGACCTGGACAGGTCCCTGCAGGAGTGAGTCTCTCCCCACATCTCGTCTCCAAAGGATTTTTTGACACTCTCTGGGCTCTTGTTATTTTCTCTCTATAGGCAGGAAGTCTTTCTCCCTGTTTGCCTCTAACAAGCTCATTTTCCCTTGCTGAAGGAGCTTTTGTTCTCGGCAGGGCCTGTTGAGACCCTGCTGTCACTGAAAATGAGCTCATGGCCACTGAAGAGTGTATGTGTCCTCTTTACCAGGGCAGAAACGTCAAAAAAATGCTGCTCCCTGTCTTCAGGAATGTCACATCTTCCTGGCGTACACTGGGGGATGCTCCAAGGCTTTCCACAGGGGGAAAGAAATGAGTTTGTTCACAGGGAAGGGTTGTAATTTGCAGCTTCAGCAGATCATTCAGAGAGGAAGGTTGTTGGTTTGTCATGCTTGTGATTTATTCCTGCCAAGCATCCAGCACAAAGATTTCCAGGGTTATATAAGCTCTGAGTAATCTGTAAATATTTTGCCTGTCACCTTTAGAGTGTGACTCTGAGGGAGCCAAGCCTCAGGGTGATGCCTCTTCCCAGTCTTCAGAAGGGTTGGAGCTGTAGACTGTGCTTCCCCATCTATAACAACATAATTCTCTACTTCCAGGATTTTGCATCTTCCAATGATCCTGGAAAAACCTGCCTTGATTGGATTCAATTCGTGATGGAGACACTTCTTTGAGTTTTAATCTTGGGCTGGTTTAATTCCGGGGCTGGCAGCGGAGTGGGACCACAGGAACAGCCGATCCTCTGGCCAGGCTCCACTGTTAATTGCTCATTAGTGATAACAGTTGGAATTTGGCATATAGCCCAAGGCTGGATCCACGTCCAGGAGCTGTACATGGGGCTGGGGCTGTGGGGAGCACCCAGTGCTGTCCCTCCATCCACCAAATTAAACCCCATTAATGGAAATAATTGGGAAATCCTCCCTTCACAGGCAGGGTCCCGCTCTGTGCCGTGGGGCTGGCAGTGCTCTGTGGGGCACAAATCTCACATTTTTCTGTTGGCATCACTGGGATTTTCCAGCCACACCGTGCTGCCATCTCACAGAGGCCAGCAGTGACACTGAACACTTTTTACATGGTTCTGTTTGCAATAACGGAGGGGAGAGAGGGTTCAGTTATTGGATTTGGTTATTGAGCTGCCTTCAAACCAATCACTTTTCTACTTCAAGGGTGTTGTCTGAGTTTAGCAAAGCCAGGCCAAGCCCGGATGCCCCGGAGGGACAGCTGCTCCCCACCGTGCTGGATTGCTCTCCCCGGCCTCCCCCAGTATCGCCCGCCCGCCTGGCACCGACCCATGGAACACACCAGGAGCCTCTCCCCGGCACTGACATCTCTGCTTGGACAGGAGATCCCACACCCCTCGGCCGTGGGGATGGAGATTCCAGCAGCACGTCCGGAATTCCGGCCCCTCGGGATGGTCCGGGCAGAGCAGAGAGCGGTGACAGCGAGGGGAGCCAGGCTGTGCACAGCCCCACAGCCCAGCACCTGCTCTCCCCCCTGCTGGGGTGTCCGGTAGGTGCTACAGCTCCCTCCCTTCCCATCTCCTTGGGTTTGTACCCAGTGGTAAAGGGAAATAAAACTAGGGACAGCTCAAATAGGCACTGCTTTTCTAGAATCAGGGAATCTCAGAATGGTTTGTGTTGGAAGGGACCTTAAAATTCATCTAGTTCCAGCCCCTGCTATTGGCAGGGACACCTTCTGCTAGACCAGGTTGCTCCAAGCCCCAACTAACCTGGCCTTGGACACTTCAATGTATAGATTTCTCCAAACTCCCATCTTCCATGCTGCTCCCACTTGGTTATCAGTGATGATTCCCACCCCATGGAGCTGTGGCCATGCAGCTGCTTCAGGAGAAACTAGTTCAAAGTCTCTATTCCCTGGTGAAAGAGGCACCAAAGCTTTTGTAGCTCTGCCTGGCCTGTCAGTCATCCCTCTCAGGAGCAGCTGCAGCAGGAAGTTTTGGGTTTGTTAGGGATATCTGGAGAGGGGTGAGCTCTCATGCAAATCTGGCTGTGGGCTGTGTGCAAGCGATAAAACGAGGTTCTCATGGGGACTTTTCATTTATGATCCACCTAAGAGGAGGGAAAAGGGTTGACTGGACAAGAAACAAACTGGTTTCCCAATGGGAAAATCCTCCTGCAGCACATCTGTTCCCAGAGTGGGATGGCATTCCCGGGTGCTGGTGTTGAGCAGCAGCGGATTTCCCCTGCTGCTACCAGGGGCTGATCCACATCCACTGGCTTCTGCTTTTAGGAAATTCTTTGAACAGCCCTGTCCTCTGTCTAATTTGTTACTGACTGTTCCATCCTGGTTCCCATTGTTTCCATGCTGGTTCCCATCCTTCCCATGCTGGTGAGGGTAGGATATACCTCACACCCCCCAGACCATTTCTCCTTTTGCTCTCTGCTCCTCTCAGTTCCCTCCGGCTTATCCCATTTCCGCTGCTTCCTCGTGGCCCAGAGCCAGTTTGACCTAATCTATGTATAACATACTGTGTCAACAGGAAATTCCCTCTGCTCTCCATGACTCATGGAGCAACCTGCGTTCCTGCCCCAGGAGTAATGCAGGAGCCGCCACCCGTGATCCTCCCCGCAGGGTGGTGACAGCTCTTCTGCTGTCACTTCAGTTATTATTCAAAATGAAAGGCCCTTGTAAGGCTTCGAAGGGGAGTTGAAAGGACATTCCTGTTGGGATGCAGCTCCGGAAGGGTCTAGGAAAGCTGCTTCCTTGTGCCAGGGCACTGAGCTGGGTGGCTTTTTCTTCCTGGCGTTTGCTCAGAGACTTTGTCCCAGAATCATGCTCCTTTCAGGAGTAATTTCTTCACTGAAAGGGTGGTCAAGCACTGAAAGGGAGTGCCCAGGGAGGTAGTGGATTCCCCATCCCTGGAGGCGTCCAAGGAATGCCTGGACATGGCACCCAGTGCCCTGGTCTGGCTGCTAAGGTGGGGATTGGGCACAGATGGGACTCGAACGTTTTTTTCCCTTAATGATTTTGAGATTCTTGTAGCCAGAAAAGTTCCTGGGGAAGCTACAGCCATATTTTTTTCAACCCCTCCTGGTACAAAGGCTTCTGCTTTCCCTGCCTTATTTTTCCCCTGCACAGCCCAGCATAGGTCTGTATTAACCATAGGTCTCTATTTCACCCTGGATATCTCTGTGCCTCTCTCCATCTCTGTTCTTCCTGGTGCTGCTGCTGCAGCTTGTGGCCTTCCATGGCAGGGCTGGATTTTCACACCCATCAGTAAAACTCCATGGACCTGTGGTCACTGCAGGGAATGTGCTCTCGTTCCACAGTGTTTTTGGGGGGAGAGAACAGATTAATTTTGGACTTTTTTATCCGACCAGAATACAGTCCCAGTATTTTCCAGCTGTTGACACAGTTCCTTGAATCATTCTCTGATTGGAGGGAGCAGAGGAGCCATCCACCTGAGAATGGCCAGAAAAGCAGTCAGTCGTGGAATGGTCTGGGGAGGAGGGAGCCTTAAAATTCATCTCATTTCTAGTCTCCTGCCATGAGCAGGGACACCTTTCATTAAATCCACACATCAGTGCCTGGGATTTGGACTGTGCAGGAGCAGCCCCTGAGGAGGGGTTGCTGTGGATGTGTGTGTTTGAGAGGCACAGATGTTTGATGAGCTTAATAATTCATAATATTTCTTAACAGAAGAGCTGGATTTCAGAAGATGATTTCTACAGACCTTCCCCGGGGGAGAGCAGCAGGAGCACGGCCGACACCAATGGCTTCGGGCCAGAGGGGGACAGCAAGGAGCCAGCCCCGGGACTCATCAGTGCTCTGGACTTGGAGAGGCTCTCAGTGCCATCGTCGGACACTGGGAAGCCCAAAATGTCCCCAGAGCGGGAGCAGAAGGGCTTCAGCGTGGTGCACCGCAGACAGATGGGTACATGCTGCCTCCTGCTGCCCTTGCGCTTGGGGGCTGCTCCAGGTGGGGATGGGCTGCTGGAGAGAGCCATTGGCTGGTGTGAGCTGATGGCAGCACTGGGAGCTACAGGAGACACTGGAGTAGCTTCCCAAGGCATTGCTGAGCCCAGGGAAGGTCTGGTGGGAAGCATTTCAGTGAGAGAGGATCTGTCCAGCCTGGGGGACACCTTTACTTGTTCCCAGCCTCAAAACCCAAATGCAGGGGGACGGTGATGGAGACCGAGGTTCTGTCAGCTCCTGCCCCAGTCCACCATGTATCAATACTGGCTCTCACCTCTGCTGTGCCTCTGGGTGCTTGCTTTGAGCCCCTCTTGGCTTTCCTCTCCCCACTAGCTTCCCCTCTCTGACTTAAACTGAGCTATCTCTTGCCCCAGGTCTTTCCAACCCTTTCCGTGGGCTGCTGAAGCTGGGCACCCTGGAGCGGCGAGGAGCCATGGGGATTTGGAAGGAGTTTTCCTGTGAGCTGTCCCCACTGGAGCTGCGGCTCTTCCTGGACCACGAGGACCGGATCTGTGTGGAGACCTACTCCCTGCTGCGCTGCGAGTCCCTGGCGCTGACCCACTCCGACGGCCGCTTCGAGCTGGTTTTCCTGGGGAAAAAGCTCTTCCTCCGAGCCCCTTCCCGGGATGAGGCCGAGGACTGGCTGGACAGGATCCGTGAGGCACTGCGCAAGTGCCGGCCGCAGCTGGAGGAGGAGGACTGGGAGACTCTGGAGTATTCCGAGAATGGAGGCGAAGCCCAGCCTGCTCAGGGCGATTCCAGTGCTCTCCAGTACAGTGACGGGCCTGGGAACAGCTTGGACTGGACTCCAGCTCCAGAAGCAGAGCTGGATGCCATCAAAGAGGCTGTTCTGTACATGGATGTGGACAAAACCTGGGTCCCGTTTATTTTTTCCCTGTCTCTAGAAACTCTGAAGTGCTTTAAAATCAGAAACAATGACAAAATTTTAAGCAACAGTTATGGCATAGAGACCATCCAGGACATCCTTCCAGACACGAGCCTGGGGGGACCCTCCTTCTTCAAGGTGATCACCTCCAAGGCTGTGCTGAAGCTGCAGGCTGAGAATGCAGAGGAGGCGGCCTCGTGGCGGGAGCTGGTCCGAGAGGTGCTCATGTCCTACCTGGAGAGTGCCGAGGAGGCGCTGACCCTGGGGGGCAGCTTGGATGGGCACTCCCAGGTCGTCCTGAAGAACATTGTGAAGGAAAATGGCTTCTTGTTGCAGTACCTCGTGGCCATCCCCATGGAGAAGGGCCTGGACTCACAGAGCTTCATCTGTGCAGGTACAGAACCGTGGAATTGTTTGGGTTGGAAGGACCCTAAAGCCCATCCAGTGCCACTCCCTGCCAAGGACAGGGACACCTTCCACTATCCCAGGGTGCTCCAGTCTCTGACCAAGCTGGTCTTGGACACCCCCAGGGATGGGGCAGCTGCAGCTTGTCTGTTTTCCCAGGAATCCCAGCAGCACAAGATCCCCTTGGTGGGGCTCCATGTCCCCAGTGAGGAAAACCTTTGGTGTCCTATGGGCACAGGGTGAGCCCCCCATGCTGAGTCCTGATCCCACCCCAGCCTAGTCCAACTGGGATGTTACTGGGCTCCCATTTAAGATGCTTTTGGTACAGACAGAGGGAAACTGGGGTTGAAGCAACCTTAGGTGGATCAGGAAGCTCAGGACTCTCTTCGTGGGCATTTTGAGGCCCCAGCCTGTGGGGAAAGTGCAATCTGGAGCAGTTTTTCCTGTAAGGCAGCACAGGAGCAGGGATTGCCATGGGTGTGACGGGCTGATTTTGCAAAACAATCATTTATCCTTCCCCTGACACCTGTCGGCACGCGGGGAGATTCTGGTGGCACCTCCACTGACCTCCATGGGAGCTGTAATTTGCTCTTTACCTTGCTGAGTTAATTAAGTTTCAGATTTCTCTCCTGCTTCAATTATATTTCTTGTACCCTCCAGCAGGTTGGTTTTTTCTTTTAATCTCTCTCCTTTTTTATATGATTTTTTTCTGGTCTATTTGGTCTCTGCCTTCCCTTCCAGGCCCTGTCCTGCATCTTCCACCTCCCCACAGCTGGAAGCCACGAGCCAAAAAAACAAATTCCCAATTTTCTGTGTAGGTTTTCTTTAGGGATCTGCCTGCCCTGCTTTCAACCCCCTCCCAGCCTGACACCCAATATGTTCCCTTCCATCTCAGAGTAATGAGCAATAAAGGCTGGTTTTTCTTATTAATTCAGAAAGCAACACGTGATCTCCATGAATATTTTGGGGGGATGAGCTCCAGCTACTCCAGAATGCAATGTTATGGGGTAGTGAAGCCAAGATGAGTTCCCCATTGGTATAATAAAGGTGTTTTGAGGTTAATCCATCCTGATCTCATCCCTTACAGATCAGGTTTTCATACCCTGTGACAGCAGCAGAAAAGGAAAGGACTGAGTGAAGGCAAAATAGTGCAAAGCTACTGGTGGAGATGATGGGACAGCAAGAGGGATTTAAGTTCTTCCCTAAACCACTGGGATGTTGCCAGAGTTCACTTTTTCTATTGAAAAAACCCAAACCTTGATGGATAAAAATGGATTCTCAGATAGTTCAACCTCCTTTTTATGGAGAAAAAGTGAAGCAGCAGCTGTTGAACCATCATAGGCTTAAATCCATGAGGAGGGGGCTGGAGGCCTCACACTAAATGTCCTACAGGTGCTTTAGCTGGTCTCTACCCTTTCCCCAAACTTCATTGTTCAATGCCATGCTGCCAGAAGTTTCTCCCCCATGCCAGCAGTGGTGGGCAGAGGCTGTGGGCAGCACAGTCCCCTCTCACACCCTGCTCCCGCAGGCTGCTCCCGCCAGATCGGCTTCTCCTTCGCCAGGCCCAAGCTCTGCGCCTTCTCCGGGCTCTACTACTGTGACAGCTGCCACCGGGATGAGGAGACCGTGATCCCCTCCCGCCTCATCCACAACTGGGACCTGACCAAGCGAGGGGTGAGTCCTGGGCTGGGGCCGTGCAGGGAGCAGGGAAACACTCCAGCATCTGCTTCCTGAAGGTCCATCTGGGCATTCTCTGGGCTGCAGGTGCCTGCTCCAAACCTCCCTCCAAGCTCTGGGGCTGCTCTGTGGTCTTGTGTCCACCTGTCCCCTCTCTTTATGCCCCAGGTGTGCAAGCAGGCCCTGAAGTTCCTCACACAGATCCGAAACCAGCCGCTGATCGATCTGAAGCTGGTCAACGAGAGCCTCTATGAGCACGTGGAGAGGATGGGCCGGATCCTGCGCATCCGGGAGCAGCTGAAGCTGCTGGGGGATTATCTCATCATGTGTCGCAGTGGTGCCCTAAAGGAGATCAGCAAGCGGTGAGAGCCCTCCCGGGTTGACATTCCCCTCTCTTGGCACCCTGGTGGTCTCCTGGTCCCCCCTCCTCACTCACCATGGGAGCAGAGAGCGGTGCTGCCAAGGCTCAGGCTGTTTTTTCCCTCCATATCATCTGCTCTAAGGAGTTATCCGTCTCTTGGCTGGGTCAGCACAATGAGCTATGACTCAGGAAACACCTTCCTGGCTGGGGAGCTTCTGGCTGGACAGGAAACACCTGGCAAAATAGATGAGATATTTATTTTCTTTTTCCCCCCCTTTGAAATGCTCTCACATGATTTCCAGTGGCAGGATTTGGGATGTGAAAATGGGCTCTGCAGTGATTCACTTCAAGAGGCTGCTTCATCCAGGCTCATCCTTGCTCCAAAGCTGTTGGAGGTGCAGTGGAGACCATCTATGCCCTTCCTCTCTATGCTTCTTTGCAGGCTTGATCACAGGCATTACCTCCTGGAGTGTCCCCACAAATACAGCGTGGCTGATCTGAGGCAGGTGAGAGCTGTGCATGGTCATAGAATCACAGATTGGTTTAGGTTGGAAAACCCAAAGATCACCCAGTCCCACCCTCTGCTATCCAGTTCCACCTCCCACTAGACCAGATTGCTCCAAGCCCCCGGCCCAGTTGTTGGGGTTTTCCAGGTGAAAGCATCCAGGTGTCTGTGGAGATGCCACATGCTGGTCCTTCAGCAGGACATTCCTAACAGTTGGGTTTTTCAGTAATTCCCAAGCCAGGAGCCCCATCCTGGCAGGTTGTGGGTGCTGCTTTCAGCAGTCCAGGGTCCCATTGCACCCCAGGTATGTGGGGTGGGGGTTGTTTGGAGGACAGCCCTGCCTTCAGGTGGAGCCCAAAGCATGGGTGTGACACAGCAAACCCCGCTGGGGCCGAGCTCCAGGAGCGCTGACCCCTGTGTTCCCCAGATCGCCGACGGCGTCTTCGAGACCTTCCTGCAGTCGCTGCTGCAGTTTGCATCCCACCACGTCTACAGCTGCGACCTGTGCACCCAGCGGGGCTTCATCTGCCAGATCTGCAACAGCAGTGACATCATCTTCCCCTTCGAGTTTGACACTACCACCAGGTGAGTGCCACCCCTGCCCCATCCCACTGCAGCCAGGACACCCAGGAGCACAGCTGGGCTTACTCCAGGAGCCCCAGCCAACCCCTAAGTTCTGCTCAGGGTCTGTGAACAGACCCCACTTCCAAGGCATGTGGGGAATTGGAAATGGATCTGAGGTGGTTGTGCATTCTCATGATGCCCACGACCTTGTGGTTCCCATGTCCTCAGCCATGAGAACCATATTGTGGTGCCCATTTCGTCATGGGAGCTGCCTCCTCATTGTGCCCATGTCGTCATCCTTGTGGTTCCCCCATCATTGTGGAACTCATCCTCACCATGCCCACAGCCTAATGCCCGTGTCCTCATGGAACCTCTCAGCTCCAGGATGCTCCAAACCAAATCCAGGCTGTTTGAGGCAGGAGCAGATCATCCTGACAGAGCCAAGATGTCACCAAGAGAGGTGGCTTTGCAGACTGAAGATGCAGAGCCACCAGCGCCTTGCTGTCAGCCATCAAAGGCCTTACTGGGTGCTAGGACAGCCAAGGGGCTGGAGGGAGGAGGAGGAAGGTTCTGCATGTCCCTGTCTTGCTCACCTGGCCAGTGCCTCTTCCACTCAGGGTCACTTGACCCCTTGCAGGGGCTGCAGGAGGGAAGGGGAAGCAGCAGTGGGACTGTCCTACATTCGTCTACAGCCACGGAAGGAAGGACAGGCACATGGACACATTTCATAGAATGCTAAAATGGTTTGGGTTGGAGGGACCTTAAAGCCCATCCAGTGCTGCCCCCTTCCATGGGCAGAGACACCTTCCAAGGCCTGTCCAGCCTGGCCTTGGGCACTTCCAGCAATGGTGCAGCTACAGCTTCTCTTGGAGCAGAGATGGATGGGGGACAGCACTGTGGGATGTGCTGGGAGAGGCTGAGGATGTTCCCAGTAGGAGAGGGGTGATACTGGCTCTCACTGGGGTTTTCCCCTGCCCACATAGCTTCCATCTCTCACAGGCAGAGGGACCTGTCCTGCAGTGGGGTCAGCTGTAGGTTGGAGTGCAGCAGCTGGACAGCAGTTGGAATCAGGATGGGGATGGTTCTAGAGGGGAACTCTTAGCCCCACCACCATCAGGGTTTGCTGAAGAAGTCAAACCCTTCCAGCCCAGAGCCTGCTCCATTGTAGGTGGAGACATCCACATCTCCATGGTTATGTCATAGAATCATGGAATCATTCAGGTTAGAAAAGTCGTGTAAGAACATCAAGTCCAGTTCCCCCAGCTTTGCCAAGGCCACCACTGAGCCATGTCTGCAGGTGCTACATTGACACAGCTTTTAAATCCCTGCAGGGATGGGGACTCCACACCACTTGCCTGGGCAGCCTCTGCCAGAGTTGGACAACTCTTTCAGTTTAGAAATTTTCCATCATATCCAACCTAAACCTCCCCTGAGGCAACTTGAGGCCGTTTCCTTTTGTGCTGTCTTAGCCTTTTTGGCATTGAGCACAATGCTGGCAGAGACACTTCACAGGCTCATGGGCTGCATGGCCTCTTTTTGCCTGGCAATCCCTAAAAGTGAGCGGCAACACCCAGAACCTGCAGAAAATACCGAGGATACCGGGATCCGTGGGTGCTCCATGTGTTCCAGGGCTGCGAGTATTTCCGTGGAGGAGGAGCAGCGCTGCTCACTCCCCTCCCTGCTACAGGGACAGCACTGAGCTCGTTATCGAGGACAACAACATCCCCAGGGGACCGATTTTCCCTGGAAAAAGAGCAGCCGGGCTCTGGAAAGTGCTGGCACGCAGGGCTGAGCTGGCTGGCGGCCGGCCGGAGGTCTCGTGTCCCGTGCAGCCGAGCTCTGAAGTTTGTTGACGTCTTTCTTTCTCACCCTGACGGAGGAGGTTGTGCAGTAGGAAAGCGGCTCAGCCGACATGCTCGGGGAGTTAAACGCAGCTTCCTGCTCCACTGCCCGCCCCGGGGCCGCTGGGTCACACCGGCACTCGCTGCAGGATTTGTCTGCAACGCCTCAAACAATGATCCCGCCAGCGCAGGACCCTCTCCTGCTCCGACAGCTCGGGGGAGGTGGAGGCAGGAGATGCCACTTCTCACTGAGAACCACACCGGGTGAAACCCGGCTTCCCAAATACCCCCACAAATGGGGAGCAGCTGCTACCGCTGCTGATCCAGAGAGGCCACGTGGATGTGTTCCACCAGGGAAATGCGTTTTTTCCACCCCAAGTCCTGCCTGTCCATGCACAAGCCTTTCCCTGTCCCGAGTCCCTCATGGTTTGCAGCTCCTCTCTGGAGCAGGATTTGGCCCCAGCTGTGATGCTGTGGTCCCTTTACTGGCACTGACAGGTGTTTCTCCGCCTCTGTCCCACACATCCTTTAGGGCATTAAGGTGTTTTGTGCTGTTCACACATGGATTGTGCACCAGGTATTTACACAGTAAAGGTAAATCCCACTGCCCCGCTGGCATGTGGCTGAGCCACATTTTACTGCCACTGACGAGTTGGGGTTCACAGCCCAAAAATTGACCTAAGCCCTTATAGCAGGGACGTTTCTTCTAGTGACTGAGCAGTGAAACCCCTGCGCGAACTGCGGTCCTTCGCCGGGTGTCACATTCCTGCTGCTGCTGAGGCAGATCAGGGAGCTCTGACACCTCCACAAAGCCACCTGCTAAGGGGCAGCTCCCTCCTGGCTGCCTGTCCCTTCCCTGCAGCTTCACCATCCCCACAGTCTCCCTGCCACATGCAGGTCCTGCTGTCAGGGTGGGCATCTCCCACCCCAGTCATGGCAAGCAGAGGGTTCCTAATAGCGATGCTGTCACAGGGGTTGGTGATGAGGGATCATGTCAGGAGTTGGTATCACGAGATTGCTTTCAAGGGATCAGTGTCACCAGGGTCAATGTCCAGGGTTTGGTGTCGCAGGGTGTTGTTACACCCTCAAAGCTGCACTCGGTGCTGGGAGAGCAGGGCACAAACCTCAGCTCAAACCTCACTCCTCTCTCTCTCACACACTGGCAGCACCCACCACACTCCTTCCGGCCGAGCTGCTGCACTCAGAGCTGCTGGGGTGGATGAGGAGTTGCTCTGGGGTTCCACCCGAGCAGCTGCTGCTCCTGCGCTCAAGGCTTACTGAGCCAGGGCTGCAGCTCTGCTCAGCAAGTGCTCGAAACACACCAGGACAGGGAAGTGTCCCCTGCGTCAGTGGGGGAAGTTTGGTCTTAGCTCTGACATATCAACACAGTGGGTTTGGTTTTTTCCTTCTTTTCCCAGGTGCAGTGAATGCAAAACCGTCTTCCACCGAGACTGCCATGCCCGAGCCCTGTCGTGCCCACGGTGCGAGCGGCGGCAGCAGTACCAGCGGCGGCTGGAGGCCAGCACGGAGCCCAGCCTGTAGCCTGGCACTGACCTCGACACTGCCCTCAGGATGGGGATGGCGGGAGGGACAGAGCAGAGCCCCCCTCCCTGCCTGAGAGCTCATCCTGCACCTGGCCCTGCCCTGGGGATAGGGACAATGTGGGGTGGGTGCTCCTGCCCCACAGAGGGACCTTCTGCCCACCCAGGGCTAAAGAATGGGGCTGGAAAAATCCATCCTCCTTCACACTAACCAGGTGCTGTTCCCTGTCACCCTCCTGGTGCCAATGTCCCCTCCCAGTGGAACCCAGCGGCTCTTCAGGGTGTCATCTCAGAATTCCAGTCAAGGGTGTGGAGAACTGACATTGATCAAAGCTCTAGTTTTTTAGGATACTGAAAACTGGTATTTTTTTACATGGTGGTTTTGCACAACTGGGCTGCTCTGGGTGGTGGACCCACGCAGGGAGGGGACAAAGTGACACTTGTGCCTTTAGGGACCTGCACTCCCCAGGGGGACCGTGGGTGCCCGAGCATCTCCCGCTCAGAGAGCCCAGCCAGGGCCGTGGCCTCCAGGAAGAGCTGGGGAGAGCTGGCCCACTCCTCCCTGCTTACTGCTGCTCATCCTCGGGAGAAATTTTATTTTCTTTTAACCCCTCCCCCACGCAAGAATAATTAAAAGTCTATTTAACAACAAGTGAAGCGATTTCTGAGTTTGCTTCTCCACAGTGGGACCTCATCACAGTTTGAACCTGACACTGTGTCTGTGGGAAGAGGGTTGGGAATGGGGATGCTGCCTGTCCCTTGTCCTCTGCCCTCCATCCTCCCTGCCCATTCCCCATCCTTCTTGCCCATCCTCCATCCTCCAGGGTTTCGCTTGGGCAAGTGGTTGGGGGGGTCCCTGCCCCATTTTCCTTCCCAGCTACTCCCCACTGGTGTCAGCCTTTCTCACTGTTGTTTTCGCCACCACTCATGTTCTGGAAGGACTTGGGATGTGTCCACCAACACAGCAGAACTCCCTGGGGTGCGTGGGGACAAAAACCAAGGCAGGGCAGCTTCCACGGGGCCCCCCTAATGAGGTCCCCATCCCACTGCCCAGGGAAGCCGTGCCAGATCCGGCAGCAGCACAGATCCCGGCTGAGCCGCGGGCTGGGCCCTTCCTGCGGCAGGAACCTCCCGAGGAGCCGTTTCCTCGTCGGGCGGCAGCGGGTCCCCTCCGCCACCGTCCCGTCCCGCCCGCCGCGGAGAGGAAACGTTCCCCAGCACCCCAGCCGGGGGCCGGGCACCCACCCCAACCCGCCGCGGAGCCCGGCCCCGTCTCTCGTCGAGGCGGCGGCGGAAACCGGGCGAGTCGGGACCGGCCCGACGCGAGCACGAGCGGCACCGCGGGCGCGCACCAGCCCCAGCGCCGGCCGCGGGTGAGAGCGGGGCTCAGGGGGCTCTGGGGACTCGGGGACCGGGGCGTCGGGGGGCTTCGGGAGCTCAGTGGCTTTGGGGTCTCGGGCATGGTAGGAAGGATAGTGGCGGTGACCCCAGGACTGTTCCAGCAGGTTCGGGCGGTTTGCGGAGCGGCCGCTAGGGCTGCAGCTCAGGGGGGACCCCGAGCGAGCTGAGTTGCGGGGTTCTCAGCCCAGGAGGGCTTGGTTCGCTGCCTTCAGCCTTTGCTTGCCCCGTGTCCCGCAGGCGGAGTCGCGGGGAGGCCATGGAGGCGGCGGAGCCGGCGGAGGAGGCGCTGGTGCTGGTGGAGTACGGCTTCGAGTACCGCGCCAAGGACGGCACCTTGGTCTCCATCAAACCCAACGAGCGCTATGTCCTGCTCAAACGCACCAACCCTCACTGGTGGCACGTCCGCAGGAGCGGGGACGCCCGACCCTTCTACATCCCGGCCCAGTACGTCAAGGAGCTGCCGCCCATCGCCGCCCCAGCCCCGCTTGACCCCCCTCCATCGGGACATGCTGCGACAGAACCGGCCACGCTCGTCCCTCAGCCCCCGCCAGCGTACGAGTATCGGTTCATCGGCGCCGCCGAGCTGGAGGAGCCGGCAGGAGAGTGCCCCGTGCCCCGCACGGACACGGTGCCCGAGAGGGACTCGGTGCCCAGGAGGGACTCGGTGCTCCAGAGGGTCTCGGAGCCCAGGAAGGACTCGATGCCCAGGAGGGATTCGGAGCCCAGGAGGGACTCGGTGCTCCAGAGGGTCTCGGAGCCCAGGAGGGACGCACCGCCATCACTCAGCTCTTTTCGGGTCCTCCCGGGGCTGACCCCGCACTCTGCTGAGCCTGTGAGACCTTCTCACTCCCTGGACGACCTGGCGCGGGTGACAGCAGCACCACGCAGTGCCGCTGCCATGGGGGCACGGGGGAACACCCCAGGACACGCTCGGCCGCTCGGGAAGAGCCGCTCCGAGACCCTCTGCGCCTCCGGCAAGGATAGGGACATGGCCAGGAGGTGGCCGGGGGCCGGCCCCACCTCTCAGGTACGGTGACATCCCCACTGCTGTCCCCAAAAGCTGCGCTGGGAGTGGGTTAGTGGGTAGGGATGTTGAGCCTGGGCCCCTCGGCTGGTTCAGTGGCTGGGTTCCCACTCCATGACGCTGTGACCCCCAGCCCAGAGTGGGGTGACATCCCAGCACCGCAGCCACTGGTGGGACCCCCCCACGTCTTCCCACCGAGCTGACCCCATTGACAAATCTGCAGGTGACCCCACCATAGGGGTTTGCCAGAATTAACCATTTCGAGAGTGTGAGTGACCCCTCCACTCTCAGCCCCCTGGCCCCTGCCTCAGTTCCCCCACCCTCATGGGCACTCCTGGGCTCTCCCAGCCTCCCACTCTGCAGAACCCAGTAGTCCCTGGGATGGGGGGCTTGGTGTCACCCAGGGGCTTTGGAGTGTCCCTCTGAGGTTCCTGGAGCATTCCGGGATGAGAGGAGGCAGAAAGGGGTTAACAGGGAAGCGCGGCAGCTCCTCCCTGCCGGGGCGGGAGCCTCACCTGGGCGCAGCACCCATTGACCGAGGTGGGTGCTGGGTGCACCCCGGCACAGGCCAGCGCCCGGACACCCCAAACCCACGCTGGCCCCACACCAGTAAGTAGCAAAGGGCTCTGCCCAGCACCCCCTGGGCTGCACCTCTCCGAGGGGGGCACCCAAGGTGGGGGACTCCCCCCACGGCTGCTCACCAACGCGGTCTGGGGTATGCAGAGGGGTGGGGCCCGTGACCTTGTCCCCTCCTCACTTGTCCCTGAGCACCTCACTTTGGAGTAACCCCAGGCACCTGGAGCACCCCAGGCCTGGGTGTTCCCCACTTCAAGGGGGAGCTAGAGGGATTGTGCCACCTGGGGGAGTTGCTAGAGGAAATGAGGTATTGGTGGTGGGGGGCTGTGTTTTACACCCCATTTTCACCTCATTTTCACCCCATTTTACACCTTGTGCCCCCAGCTTTGCCCTTTGCACAACCAAAGTCACCGACCCCCTTCTAGGGGTGATCCAGCATAGTCCCCAGCCTTAGTGCCACCACGGGAGCATTCCCCTTCCCTGCCCAAATCCAGCCAGTGCCAAAACTATCCGGCACTGGGCATGGCAGGACCATGGTGGCCTCAGTCCTACCACCGTCTGCACCCCCCACCCGTGGGATGGGATGATCCCGGTGGTGTGGGGACATAGCAGCTGCAGATCAGCTTCTGGTGGAGCAGTGTGACACAAAATGGGCCACCCGAAATTTGGGGGGATCATCCCAGTACAATTCCTGCTCAGCATCGTCCTGAAGCAATTCCTACTCGATTGGCCTTGGCTTTGCTGGAGCGGATGACGAGTGGCAGGTTGTGGGTGACGGGTGACAACAACCCTAAGAGAAGCCAGTTCCGCCTTGGGCGTCTCTTCCGCTCCCCGACCCCGGCAGGAAGCGCGGTGGGTGCAGGGCCCGGCTCAGGGTGCCAGTGGTGTTACCAGAGCCTCACAGTGTCCCCACGGCTGTCCCCACCCTGGTGCCCCCAGCGCTGCCCTAGTGTCACCGCGATGGGTGACCGGGCGCAGGGGGGCCCACAGCCGGCCTGGAGCAGGGCATTGCAGCTGCTGCACTTGGGGAAGGTAGGCAGCACCCAAGGGTACACCCAGCTGGGGGATGGGGGTGTTTTGGGGTTGTCCCTCGCCAGGCTTCCCCTTGGATTTCCCTGAGGGTTTATGGGCACTGGAAGATGCCGCAATGCCCATTCTAAAGGAGGGAGGGGCACCCAGCCACCCCCCGGGGGTGAGAAACTCCCAGGGATGGACCCATGGGGGAGAGAGAGGTGCTGGGGGGGCTCCGTGCCAGGGATCCCCCATTGCCACCCCCATGTTCCTCATCCCCAAGAGGAAGGCAGACCTCTCAGTGTTTTCTGGCCCTGCTCACCATGGTGGGGGGGTCATGGGGTAATGGGGAGAGGATGAGGGGTGTTATCGATCTGCTGTTCCACTCTGATCCAGAGTGTCTCCAAGGACAGTGCACCCCTTGTCACCTCCCTCAGGGTGACAGGCAAGGCTGGAGTTGGGACCTTTGTCCCCACAGCCATTAGTGAGAGACTCAGGCTGTAAAACTGGGGAGATCAAAGGGTGACAAGAGGGGGTTCCCCACTGGCGGCAGCCTCCTGGTCCCAGGGGACACATCCCCCTGCCCCAAGCATCCCCACGGGTGGGGGTCAGCCAGGCTGGTGCTGGGTATGCTATTTTGGGATGTGGTGATAGGACTGTCTGGTTCAGCATCCGGCTCTGGGTGGGAGGCCGGGGCTATGGGTGCTGGAAGTGTTCCAGGGTGCAGGTGATGAGGGTGCTGGGGTGCAAGCGTGGGTGAGATGGGTGTGAGTTTTGGGGTGCTGTTGCTGGAGAGGTGGGATCGGAGGCTGAGGATGCAGGGGATGAGCAAGTTGGAGGTGTTGGGACCGCAGATACCAGTGCAGAGGTTGTGGGTGTTCATGGTTTGGGTGCCAGTGATGTGGGTGCTGTATCCAGGAGATCCAGTTGCAGGTACCAGTGATGTGGGTGCTGCACAGAGCAGGTGATGCAGGTACCAGTGATGTGGGTGCTGAATCCAGGGGGTGATGCAGGTACCAGTGATGCAGGTGCTGCATGAGTAGGTACCAGGGACACAGGTGTTGATGATGTGGGTGCTGACAATGCAGGTACGGATGTGACACAGGTACCAGTGGTGCAGGTGCTGCACGCAGTGGGTCATGTAGGTGCCAGTGATGTGGTGCTGGTTGTGAGGGTCCTGCCATCAGCAGGTGACACAGGCAGCAGTGACACAGGTGCTAGCACTGGGGACCTCGATGGCCCTCTATGTGCTCATCTCTATGTAAGTGTGTGCCCCCTGCCTCACTCTGGGTGCTGTGGGTGCCCCTCTCCATCTCCTGGCCTCCTACACCCCATTACTGGCACCTCTTGCCCCACACTTTTGGGGGCCCGGGCAGGGGGTGACCCAGCAGCCAGGGCAGGACCCAGCTCCTCAGCACCTCACCCATTGGCCTCTCGGACACCACACTGGGGACATCCCAGGAATGCCATCCCAGCTGCAGTAGTGACACATCTGTGTTCCCCCAGGTACACAAGGAGTCAGAGGAAACACCTGATCCCATCTACCTCAATATCCAGGAGCTGCGGGAAGAGGCCAGCGCTGCCAGCTCGGCCCCAGAGGAGCGTGGAGGCTCCGTATCAGAGTGGGAAACCCACACAGACACGGACAGTGGACATTTGTTTTATTATAACCCAGTGACGGGTGAGACCACGTGGGATTGTCCCTTCGGGCAGGCGGCCGATGGAGTGAGTCCTGCCGCCTCTCCCACCTCCTCACTCGCACACAGCCCGGAGCTTCCCGAGTGGGAACAGCACGTGGATGAAGGAAGCGGACAGACTTTTTTCTATAATTCGGTGACAGGTGAGACGTCGTGGGACCCCCCCACTGCGAGAGACACAGGCAGCCGCCAGGAGATGTACCCTGGGGGGACGTGGTACGGTCCCATGGAGCAGAGGGTGAGCACCCGGCGAGGCTCGGGGATGGGCTTGGGATGGGAATGGAGGCAGGGATGGGAATGGAGATGAAAAAGGGATGGGATGAAAATGGAGACAGAGATTGGGATTGAGAAAAGTGTAGGAGATGGAGATGGAAACAGATGGAGACAGATGGGAATGGAGATGAAGAGGGATGAAAATACACATGGGTATGGATACAGGGGTGTTGGAAAGGAGAATGCAGATGGAAACAGGGATGGGATGAAAATGGAGGCAGAGCTAAAGATTGAGAAAGGATGGGAGATGCAAAGGAGATGAATATGGAAACGAAGATGGAGATGGGAATAGATAGAGGGATGTAGAAAGGGAGGGGAATGGAGATGGAAACAGGGCTGGGATGGAGATGGAGACAGGGATGAAGTTGGAGATGGGAGACAGGGATGGGAATGAAGGTGCAGATGAGCATGGAGATGGGAACGGATATACTGGGACTGAGATGGGGATGGAGACAGGGATGGGAATGGAGTTGATGGAGGTTTGGGATGGCCCACCTGGGTGAGTAACACAGGGATGCAGATCTCTTGGTTGGGCACAAGATCTTGAACTATCTCTTCTCTCCAGCCACCCACTCCAGAAACGGATTATCCCGACCTGTCTCCAGATGAGCTGGAGTGTTATCCCGAGGAGGACTATTCACCCATGGGCTCATACGATCAGGGGGCCTCTCTTTGCCTGTCCCCAAGGCATCCCGAGGAACTGGGGTCACCCCCGGGCTGGTACGGGCACAGCCACCCCGAGGGAATCACGTTCTACCCCGAGCACTTTGCCTCTGACACGGTACGGGATAGGGATGGGAACAGGGATTGGGATAGGGTTGAGGATGGGGATGGGGACAGGGAAAAGGACAGGAAATGGAAAAGGGATGAACACAGGGATAGGAACTGGGATAGGGACAGGGATGGATTATGGACAAGGCCAAGCAATGGGGATGGGGACAGGATCAGGGACAAAGATGCTGGCAGAGGTGACTGCCAGGTATAAACATCCTCACAAGTCTACAGAGCAGAGGGTGCAGGGGCTCTGGGGTACTGTGAGTGCACAGCACAGCCCCCTCCTGGCAGGGGCACCTCAGGCATCACCTGACCCTTCCCTGCCCAGGTGCCATCGGGCGGCCGCCATGAGCGAGCCAGCAGCAGCTCCAGCCAGGACAGCGGGCTCTTCGCCTGGCATGGCGCCATGTCACCAGCACCGGGCAGCAAGGAGGAGAAGGGGGGCACCCAGCCTGCCCTTACCCCAGCACCAGGGACAGCAAGGGGCAAATTTGACCCCCCCACCTTTACTTTCCAGTTTAAAAGCCTTGAAAAAGCCGGGGTGCTTAACCGGACCAAGACAGTGGACAGAGGGAAGCGGCTCCGGTAAGAACATCCTGGTGTCCCCTGCCACTGAAAACAGGAGTCCAGAAGGGGATAGAGGCTGTGCTATCCCACTGTGTGACCCCTGCTCTTCTCCCCAGGAAGAACTGGAGCTCCTCCTGGACAGTGCTGGAAGGAGGAATCCTCACTTTCTTCAAGGACTCCAAGCATTCAGCTGCCAGTGCCTTGGTAAGAACCCCACTGGCCTTGGGGCAGGGCAGCTCCCATGGGAAAGGACCAGAACCCGTGGGACTGGACAAGGATTCACAGGATGAAGCCAATGTGTGTAGGATAGGGGCAGCACCCACGGGGAACACGGTGCTGGCTTCACCTCTGGGGTGGGGGTTCAGGGCTCTGTCTAGGGGGTGCAGAGGCTCTTGGAGGAGGGGGACTGTGGCCAGCACCCACAGAATGGAGCCAGCATCCGCAGGATAGGACCAGCATCCACAGGACAGGGCAAGGATGCACAGGATGGGGTCGATGCTGCAAGATGGGACCAGCACCCATAGGATGAGGCCAACATCCAGGGGAAAAGAGCCAGCACCCACAAAACAGGACCCCCAGTGCTTTGGGGGATAATCAGCACTTGAAGGATGGGACCAAGACCCACAGGCCAGGGCAGGTGCCCTGCACAGGGACTCCAGCACTGGGACACGTCCACTCACCCTCCCAGCACACACACCCTCCCTGCAGGGGTGCCAGTGGGGGAGCACCCGGAGCAGGTGGGAGACAGCAGGAGGAAGCAGAGCCTGCCTCAGACCCCCCCGGTCCAGTTCCCCCCTCTCCAACCGTGCCCAGCAGTTGCCACCGGATGCAGAAGTTGCTGTGGGTCTTGCAACACCCTGTGGTGACAGTGACAGTGGGGGGAGGGGGAAGACAGGGGACTCACGGCTGAGGGAGGGAGTCCTGGCCTCACCTCGGAGGTTCAGGACTCTCTCTGGGGATGCAGAGGCTCTTGGGGCAGGGGGACCGTGGCCAAATCACCTTGAAACCCAGGGCATGGGGAGAAGCAGTGGGTCTGATGCTCTCCCCCTGCAAAAACTCGCTCCTTGGGGGCAGCCACCCTCTCCCTTCCTGCAGTGTCACTGAGAGGGAACCCAAAGCTGTAGTCCCCCGGGATCCCTGGGGAGGGCTGGGAATGTCCTTTGAGGTGATGGCAGCCCTAGGAGCTGGCTGCCCCCAGGCTGGTGGCCATGACCCTCATCCCACCACAGCAGTTCCATGTCCCAGTCCTGCAGAGACCATAGAAGGGGACAGAGGGGTCCCACAGAGGACATCTGGCAACCTTGCCTTTCTGGAGGAGAATAGCCCACACCCCCCAGCAGGATCTCGCTGTCCCTGTCCCCTCTGGGCAGGTGCCACCCTCATCCCCTTGTCCCCACAGAGGCACCCTGGCACCCTGACCACCCCTGAGCACACAGTGGAGCTGCGCGGGGCCACCCTCACCTGGGCTGGCAGGGACAAGTCCAGCAAGAAGAATGTCCTGGAGGTGAGTAGGTGACAGCAAGAGGGACACTGGTCACACCCCAGGGTCCACACGTCGCCCACAGGGCAGTGCCACATCTGCCCAGTTCATCCCAGCAGTGGTGCAGGGGATGGAAGTGGGGACGCTGAGGACCTGCCAGGGTGGGAGTACAGGGACCCTGCACTGCTGGTCACTGTCCCATTCTGATGGGCACGGAGAAGTCACCAAGGGACATCCTGGATCCCAGAGGGGTTTTGCACAGTGAGGAGCCGCTACAGCTCCCCGGCACACGGCACCGTTTGGTGTCACCGGAGTTGGCGTCGGGCTCAGCCACATCCTGGTTCCCAAATCCGGCTGGTTGCGGCAGCCCCGTGCCCTTTCCCTGACCTTTGCCTGTTGCTCTGGCAGCTGAGGACGCGGGAGGGCTCGGAATTCCTCATCCAGCACGACTCGGAGCAGATCATCACCGCCTGGCACAGGGCCATCGCCGACAGCATCGGCCGGAGGGTGAGCAGGGCCCCCCCGCCCCGCCCCGCGGCCACCCTGGGGCCCGGCCCCGGCGTCTCACGGTTCCCCTTCCTTAGGGCTCCGACATCCCCGGAGAGGAGGAGGCGGAAATTCGGGCTGAATTCGGCTCCCGGGAGAAGCTGGCGGGCGGCGAGGAGAGGAGGGCAGGTGAGCACCTGGGATGGGCACGAGAGCCCCGGCAGAACCACCGACCCTGCGCGTCCCCGGGGGTCGGACGAGCCGGGAGCGCTCCGGTCGGACCCTCGGGATGGTGCTGACGTGTGCCATGTCTCCGCCAGCGGCCGGGCAGGTGACAGGCAGTGCCGAGAGTGACACCAGCAGAGTCCGGAACAAACTCCGCAAGTTCCTGCAAAGGCGGCCGACGCTGCAATCCCTGCGGGAGAGGGGCTACATCAAGGGTGGGTGTCAGGGGGGCTGGATCAGGAGTCGGTGCTGGCATGGGGCTGGATCAAGGATACATGCTGGGATGTGGTGTCAGGATAGGGCCTATCAAGGATGGGTGCTGGAATGGGGCTGAATCCCTCGAGATGTCTCCAGGCTGGGGTGTGGGTGGGCACAGCCAGATATGGAGCTGGGACAGCCAGGTATGGAGCTGGGACACCGGGTTGAGTGACCAAGCCCAACCTTGACCCAACATCTTGGTGATGGGCTTGGGTGTGTCCCATCACCTCCAGCCACCCTGGTGGGACACTCCTATGGGAACAAGACCCTTTGTCCCCCATCCTATCCCCCACTAGCCACCCTCCTGGTGACGCCTGTCATGCTCATGTCCCTGCTGCGTTCCTAGACCAGGTTTTTGGCTGCTCGCTGCTGGCGCTGTGTGAGCGGGAACGGGGGACGGTGCCACACTTCGTCCTGCAGTGCATCTGGACTGTGGAGAGGAGAGGTACCACCCTGGGGACAGGGACAACCTGGGGCACTGGGATGGGGAGATGGGGACAGCTCCGGGGACAGCCTACATGGGATGTTTGGGTTTTCCTTGGAAGCCTGGTGCTGGCTGCCGTGGGCACTGGCACAGCTGTCACCAGGTGCCGCCTGGCTGTGGGCATCCTCCAGAGGACAAGGACACATGGGGACCCGGAGTTCCCTCAAGAGTGCCTAATGTCCCATCCCAGGGTGGATTGTTTAACTGGGAGCTTTCCCCCATCTCCATCTGCCCAGGTCTGGACATTGATGGGCTGTACCGGGTCAGTGGCAACCTGGCCACCATCCAGAAACTGCGCTACAAGGTGGAGCACGGTACGGTGACCCCCGATGACAGTGGGGACAATGGGGTATAACCCCCCTTCAGGGGCAGAGGGGCTGAGGTTGGGGACGGGGAAGTCAGGGACTCCCCCACCCATCCCTGGGGCTCTGGACACACCTGAGATGCTGCCCCACCCCTAGATGAGCAGCTGGACCTGGATGACGGGCGCTGGGAGGACATCCACGTTGTCACCGGGGCTCTGAAGCTCTTCCTGAGGGAGCTGCCAGAGCCGCTCATCCCCTTCAGCCACTTCGACAAGTTCATCGCTGCCATCAGTGAGGGACAGGGACAGGGACGAGGGGTGGGATGGAGTGGGGTGGGATGGGATGGGATGGGATGGGATGGGTTGGGAACTGGGATGGAATCAAGATGTGATGGCGAAGGGTATAAGGATGGGATTGGAGACAGGAATGAAATAGAAAAGGGATGGGAATGGAGACAGGAACTGGAACAGGGAGTGGTGATGATTAGGATGGGGACAAGGATGGGATGAGGATGCGAATGGAGGTGGGGACAGGGATGCTGTTACTGCTGGAGCCAGCACCTCACCATGCCCTCCCTCCCTGTCAGAGATCCAAGACCCATCCCTGCGGGGCCGCTGCATCCGGGACCTGGTGCTGTCCCTGCCACCCGCCCACCATGACACCATGAAGGTCCTTTTCCGCCACCTCTGCAGGTGACACCCCCTTGTTCCCCCAAACCCAGCCCCGTGCAGGAAGGCAGAACACGACTCTGGGGACAGTCTCCAGGGTCAGGACCATGCCGGTGACACGTCCCCTGTCCCTGCAGGGTGGTGGAGCACAAGGAGGAGAACCGCATGTCAGTGCAGAGCGTCGCCATTGTCTTTGGCCCCACGCTGCTGCGGCCGGCCAGCGAGGAGAGCAACATGGCCATGCACATGGTCTTCCAGAACCAGGTGGTGGAGCACATCCTCAACCACTATGGATACATCTTCCCCGAGGGATAAACCCTGGGGACACATGAGGGGACAAGCCCAGCAGCAGGGATTTGATGGAGCAGTGTCTCCAGGAAGGACTTGGCCATGTGTCACCTTGGTGGTGGCTGCATGAAGGGCAGCACGGTGACCCGGCTCAAGGGAGGGGCATCCCGGTGGGTCCTGCTTGGCCACCCTGTCCCACTGGGGCCGAATCTGGGGGGTCCAGCCCCAGGGGGTGTGTGGGGCTCGGTGGGGTCCCCATGGTCAGTGCAGCCCTGCAGTGCCAAGCTCACCAGGCTGGCATTCCCAGGGTGGGAGCAGGGAGGGTCTGGCCAGCAGTGCCTGCTGGACGGTGGCACCGGCAGACGGGCAGGGAGACGCTGGGCAGTGCCATGGCTGGAGCCACCCACCCCGTTCCCAAATAAAGAGCCCATTCAGACACAAGAGTGAGGTGTTGCTGGCAGGACGTGGGGACATCCTGGGGACATGGGTGGCACAGCGGGGACACCACATGGCCTTTGTACACCATGAGGATGAGGGGACCTGAGACTGCAGGACACAACAGTGACCTGGGACACCATTCCTGGCTGGCATCCCCAAACACTGTGTCACCACAAATGTCACCACAGACAGTGAGATGTGATGAGAGCCACACATGGGACATGAGCTCCCATCATCCAGAGCCACCTCCTAGGGTGGGGACACTTTGGGTCATGATGGTGACAAGCTGGGACGCAACCAGGACTGGATGGGACGCAAAAAAGAATGACAAGGGACATGACTGAAGTGCTTTGGGACATAATGGGGACAATAAAGGGCATGGCAGAGACAAGAGGAGGAGGTGTGGGGACATGGGACACATGTCACTTGCTTTGAAACAGGGCAAGGACAGCACATGGCAGTGGTTTGGGACACAGGGATGGCTGGGGTACAGAGGGGACACTTGGGGACACAGCAAGGGCACTTTGGGGTGTGGTGGGGATGTGTGGGGATGCAATGGGGCCAAGCTGGGCTGCAGTGGGGACTCTTTGGGACAAGACAGAGGCACTTTGGGGTGCAGTGGGGTCATTTTGGGGCACAAGGATTTTCGGGACACAAAGGGACAGGAGTGCAGGGACGGTGGTTTGGTATACAATGGGGACAATTTGGGATTCAACTGGGACACTTTGGGACACACGAGGACACAACTGGGGACAGGAAAGGGACTGTTTGGAATGCCGGGAAGAAATTCGGGGGCACAAGGGGATACCTTGGGGAACAAGACAATGCTTCGAGGGTGCAGCAGGGGCACTTTGGAATGCCTTGGGGCCACTTTGGAGCACAAGGAGGTACTTTGTGACAAGAGGGGATTATTTAGGAGTGCAGTGGGAGTGATTTGGGACAAATTGGGACACTTTTGGATGCATGGAACACACTTTAGAACTTTGGGAGGTGCAGAGGGCCCGCGGGGCGGGAGGCGGGGCGGTGCCAGGGGCAGAGCCCGGCCGATCCCCGCTCCCACTCCGCTCCCATCCCGATCCCTCCCCGCTCCCGGCCCCGCTCCGCGCCCCCCGCCCGGCTCCATCTTGTTCGCGGCCGCCGTGGAGCCGCTCCAGGTGCGGGGGTGCGGGGGTGCGGGAGGGGTTGGGTGGGCCCGGGAGGGTCGCAGGGACCCGCTGGGGAGCTGGGAGGGGATCTCCCACCCGGGATCCCACCCCCAGCCATCCCCCAGCCCCTCACGGGACCCCAGGCGCTGTAGGGGACCCCTGGGAGCGATCCCTCCCCTAGGGCCGAGCTGGGACCCCCGGAGACCCCCCACCTCTGGACCCATGGAGGGACCCCCAGGGCCAGGCCAGACCCCATCAGCCCCGTAGCCCCCCGGCAACCGGGGCTATGCGGGACTGGAAATGGCCAGCAGCGACCTCCTCCCCCCTCCCCGGACCCCCAGACAAACCCCCGGGTCCCCCTCCAGCAGCGACCCGCACACACCCCCCCAGACACTCACAGAGTCCCCCGGACACTCTGAACAGCAAAGTCCCCACCACCAGGTTCTCACAGGACTCACTAGGCAGCTCATCCTCCCTCACAGAGCCCCACGGGACCCCCAGCAGCTCCCACCTCCCCTCAGACGCTCACAGGGACTCTCCGGACACCCCCCAGCAGCCCCCCCCAACTTCCTCATAGAGCCCTCCCAGCAGGCAAGCTCCCACTCCCAGGGCCCCCCCAAGCCCTTCAGCAGCGTCTCCCCGTCCCAGAACCCCCCCAAACCACCCAACAGTGACCCCCTCTCCCAATGCCCCCCACCCCCAGACTCCTCCTTTCCCCTTGGTGCCAGGTCCCATCTTCCCTGGTGCTGCTCAGGCAGGGTCCGACCCCAGCCCAGCCGGGACAGGGACACCCCCTGAGGCTGGGAACGGCGCTGGGGACACTTTGGGGGGCCTGGGGACACTCCCGGAGCTGTGCTCCCCCCCCCCAGGACCAGGCACCAGGGGGTTACAGCAAAAGCAGCTTTGCCAGCCAAAATCCCTCTTAAAGCTTTAATCGCAGTGAGAAAGTGGCGGAGGGGGGGCGGGGAGGGCCACCCTGTCTCCCCCGCACTGTGCCCAACCTTGTGGGGTTGCAGGGACAAGTGCAGCTGGGCTGGAAATTTAAGCCAAATCCCTAAACCTGGCTTAAAATTCAATGGGATTTAGGGGAGAAAGAAAAAAAGGGTGGGGGGAGGAGGGTAGCAGTGGGGCTGGAAGGTTTTGGGGGGCCCATCGTGCACCCCCCCTTTGTGGGGGGCCCAGGTGTGAGTCAGGGGGCAAAGGTCGGTGCTGGCAGTGTTTGCACACCCAGCACGGAAGTGGCACCGTCCCCGCGTGTCCCCGTGTCCCGCCTGGCGGTGCCACCCGGCTGGAGCAGGTAGGGAGGGAGCCCCCAGCCCGTGGGATGGGCACAGCAGAGTCCCCCCACAGGGTGGGAACCCAACAGGGACTCTCAGTCCGTCTGTGTGGGGACAGGGGGTCCCCTGGGCCTGATATGGCTGGTGTCCTGCTGTCCATGGGGACAGGGACACAGAGGCCCTGCTACTGCAGCAGGGGAGGCTCAGAGGGTCCCCATGGCCCAACTGGAATCAGATTTTGGGGATCCCCATGGAAAGGGGGCTCTGGAAGTCCACATGACCCCATAGGAATCAGATCTGGGGGGGGCCTCCTTAGGGACCAGGCTCTGGGAGCCCCCATGGCCCTGTATAGGTGTCCCTATAGGGATCAGTCTCCGGGCTCCCCAAGGCCCCATAGGGAAAGGCTCTGGGGGTCCCTGCCAGGGTCAGGCTCTGGGGAGCCTGGGACAGGGTTGTGTGTGGGGGTCCCGAGAAGGACACACTCTGGGGGTCCCCACACCCCCCTATGGCCCAGGCCTTGCTCTCCTGACCCTGGCCCGTGTCTCCATGGTCATGGTGATGGGATGAGGGCAGCTCCCCAAATCCTGCTGCACCCCACACCCAGAGTCACCACATCCCCCAGGATGAAAGACCCTGGGAACAGGGATCCATCTGGGGATGATACCAGGTCCTGGCCGGGCAGTTTGGGGTGCGGGGATGGAGAGGAAAACATCTGTGGGGTTCCAACCCCCTGGTCCCCCTGTCACTGCACCCCCAGCGTGCTGTGATGGCACTGGACACCTGAGCCCCTCCAGCAGGGACCAGCCATGGAGACGGTTGTCATCGTGGCCATCGGGGTGCTGGCCACCATCTTTCTGGCGTCCTTCGTGGCGCTGGTGGTGGTGTGCAGGCAGCGCTACTGTCACCCCAAGGACCTGCGCCACCACTACGACACCAAGTGAGTGACCCTGAGGGGGTGGCAGTGTCCCTGTCCTCACCAGGGAGGGACCCCAACCCCTGTGGGCTGGGACAGTGCTGGGCACATGTCCAGTATCATCAAGGAGACCATGTGGGGGACATGTCCACCATCATCAGGGGGACAAAGATGGGGACACATCTGCCATCATCAAAGGGGTGAAGCTGGGAACATGTCCAGCATCATCCAGGGAACAAAAGATGAGGACATATCCACTGTGATCAGGGGGATGATGCAGGGGACATGTCCAGCATCATCAGAGGGAAGAAGTTTGGGTGGGACGCATGCACATCACCAGGGGACAAAGATGGGGACATGTCCACCAGCAGCAGGGGCATTGGGGCTGTGGGGCAGCCCAAGGTCATGGCCCTTGGTGGGATGTCCCTCATGTCTCTGACAGACCCATCGTGGACCTGATGGGGACCACGGAGACACCATCAGAGCCCTCGGAGCTGGAGCTGGACGACGTGGTCATCACCAACCCCCACATCGAGGCCATCCTGGAGAACGAGGACTGGGTCGAGGACGCCTCGTGAGTGTCCCCCCACTGCTGGGGACCCCTGTGCAGTGTCAGCCCCCCATCATGAGATGCAGGGGACAGATTTGGAGGTCACCAAGCCATGGGGATGGTCCTCAAGATGGTCTTGGGGTGGGAATATCCTCACATGGCTGGGAAACATGGGGTGTGAGCTGTCGGGAGAGAGAGGACACACAGGGGACAAGGACAGAGCATGGGGGACATAGATGGATTCACACTCTCCTCCCTCTCCACAGGGGTCTGGTGTCCCACTGCATTGCCATCTTGAAGGTGAGTCAGGGCATGGCACTGGTGGCAATGGCAGCACTGGTGGTACTGGTAGAGCTGGTGGCACCAGTGGCACTGGTGGCAGGGTCACACTTGTGGCAGTGGTGGTACCAGTGGCACTAGTGACATTGGTGTCAGTGGTGGGCAGCACTTGTGGTAATGGTGGCAATGGTGACATTGTTGGTACTGGTGGCACTGTGCTGATGGTAGGTGACACTTGTGGCACTGATATTGATGGTGGCACTGAGTGCCCACCACTGTCCCCCAGATCTGTCACACACTGACAGAAAAGTTGGTGGCCATGACCATGGGCTCGGGCGCACGTGTGAAATCGCCGGCCAGCCTGGGTGACATCATCGTGGTGGCCAAGCGCATCAGCCCCAGGTGACAGAGGATGTCTGGAGGCTCCCTGGGCTCTTGGGTGGGATCCTGTGACTCTGGGGTGTCCTCAGGGACTGGGGGGAAAAATTCCAGAGCTCTGGAGGGTCCCCAGAGATTTGGGACAGGGTAGGTCTGGAGGGGTCATAGGGGCTCTGGGGATGTCCTGTGGCTCTTGGGGGGGGGGGGGTCCTGAGGCACTGGGGAGGACCTTGGGGACTCTGGAGGGAAACCTGGGGACTTTAGGGGTGCCTGGGGACTCTGGGAGGTGTCCTGAGGCTCAGGGGGTTCCTGGGGCTCTAGGGGGTCACAGGGCTCCAAGAGGGCTCTTGAGGCTTGGGATGGGTGTGTTGGAGGTGTCACCACAGTGTTCCCTGGGGTTAACGCTGTCCCCACCACAGAGTGGATGACGTGGTGAGATCCATGTACCCCCCGCTGGACCCCAAACTGCTGGATGCGAGGTGACAGTGGCGGGAAGGACAGGGACACTCCCGGGTGGGGGGATACCTGTGGGTGGGGACACCCCCCCATCCCATACCACACCTCTGGGGACAGCCCCAGGTGGCCCAGCAGGATGGGGAGGCCCCTTGGTGTGAACAGATCACAGAATATCCCAGGTTGGGATGGTACCCCAAGGATTATCCAGTCCCACCCCTGGCCCTGCACAGACACCCCAACAGTCCCAGCCTGTCCATCCCTGGCAGTGCTGTCCAAACACTCCTGGAGCTCTGGCAGCCTCGGGGCTGGGACCATTCCCTGGCGAGTCTGGGCAGTGCCCGCACCCTCGGGGGGAAGAACCTTTTCCTGATTCCCATCCCAAACCCCCCTGTGACACAACCTCAGGCCATTCCCTGGGTCCTGTCCCTGGTCACCACAGACAGGCAAACCGGGGGTCACGCTGCTGCTGAGGAAGCCACCACGGGGCAGGGAGGTGACAGTGTGGTGACAGGGCAGTGACAGCCCCGTGTCCCCCCCGCAGGGCCGCGGCGCTGCTGCTGTCCGTAAGTCACCTGGTGCTGGTGACCCGCAGCGCCTGTCGCCAGCCGGCCGCCCGCCACTGGGTCGAGCGGTCCCTGGCAGCCGCCGAGGAGCACATGGCTGTGCTGCGCCAGGCTGCCATGGCCACCGAGCCCGAGCGGCCCCCGGCCCCCGCCGAGCCCCCCCGCCAGGAGCAGTCGGCCATCTGACCTCAATAAAGGCTTCGTGTGCCCCCAACACCGACACGGGCAGCTCTGGAATGTGATGTCTGCATGGAGAGGAGATGGGGACGGGTCTGGGGGTGGAACAGGGGTGTTGAAGGGGAGGTTGGGGGTCTAGGGAGGGGTTGGGGGGTTTGGGAGGGAGTCTAGAGGGTGGTTGAGGGGTTTAGAGGAGATTTTGTGGGGTTGGAGGTGGATTTGGAGAGGTTGGAGGTCTAGGGAAGGGTTGAGGGACTTGAAAGGGAGTGGAGGGGATTTGGAGGGGTTGAAAAGGCTGGAGGTGGTTTGGGGGGTTGGAGGCTGATTTTGTTGGAGTTAGGGGTCTATGGACAGTTTTGTGGACTTGGGGGGGGTGGAGGGGGTTTGAGAAGATTTCAGGGTGTTGGAGGGGGATTTGAAGGAGTTGGGAGTCTAGGGAGAGGCTGGGGGGGTTGGGAAGGGAATGTGGAGGGAGGTTGGCATGGGCTAAAAGGGATTTGGAAGGGTTATGAAGGTCGGAGGTGGTTGGGGGGGTTGCAGGGGATTTGGGGTGTTGGAAGGAGATGTTTAGAGTTTAGGGAGGGTTTGGAGGTAGTTGAAGTTGAGGGGGGTTGAAGAAAGGTTTAGGGGGTGTTGGAGTGGTTGGAGGAGGTTTTGGAGTGAATTACTAGGGAGATGGGGGTTGATTTGGGGGAGTTGAGGGAGAATGAGGGAGTTGGTGTAGTTGGGAGTTTAGGGAATGTTTGGGGTCGGTTGGAAGAGGGGTTTGGGGAGGTGGAGGGGGTTTGGAGAGATGTTGGCATTGAAGTGGATTTAGAGGAGCTTGTGGGAGTGGGAAAGGCTTGGGGAGAGAGGTTGGAAGTTTTGGGAAGAGTTGGAGAGGTTGAAGAGGTCTTTGAGGCATAGAAAGTTGGAGGGGATTTGGAGAGGATTTAGGGGCACTTGTGGGCATTGGGAGGGAGGATGGGGGAATTGGAGGGACAAAGATTGGAGCTTTGGGAGGATCGGGGAGATTGGGGAGGACTGGAGGGGGCTATGAGGACTGATGGAAGTTTAAGGGGGTTGGGGAGGATTTTGGGCTGGGGAGATCAGGGGGTGCTGCCTTCCCTGGGAGCAAGGTCTGAAAGGTTCAGCAACACCGAAGGGTGAAACCCTGTGACCCGGCGGGTTTGTGCCCGGGGTGGGGGATCTATGCCCCGGGTAGCAGGGTCTGTGAGCCGGGTGTGACGCGGGTGGGGGGGTTTGTGCTCCGGGTGAGGGTCTGTGCCCTGGGTGAGGGGGT